AGATGAGTCTTTGAGTTTGTATAAACATCAACAAGCTGAAAAATAAAACCAAAGTTTTTTTTTTAGATAATGTGATCTTGTTAAAATTGATTTCATAAAATTGGTATCGAAAAAAGTATCGCTCAGGAACCGGTATCGAAGTCAAGGTATCGGTATCGCTATCGAAAATTTTTGAACGATACCCAGCCCTAGGTGTCATTTTCATTTCGTCTTTCATGTAATGCCTGATAAACTAGCGTTTGTGACTGAGCACAGTGCTTATTTGATTATAGCCTTTACCGGGGAAACCGCTATATCGCTCGCTCCAACAGCGCCTCCTGCTGGCAGAGAATTAATTTTCATTTGCAAGTCTGTGGGAAACACTGGTGTCTGTCAGCAAACAAACAAAAAGCATGCTTCAGAACTGTTTTGAGAAGGTGCTTAAGTTTTGAGCCATGTATTATTACTCTGAATTAGGCTACTACTACTATCTTGTACCCTGCAATAATCATTTACTCAAACTCACTTTTATGAGATGAAGGGGAAAAAACAAAAAAAAAATCGGCCAAAATAGCGACAAAAAAAAAAATCGGCATCATATATCGGCCATCGGCTGCCCTGATGTCTAAATATCGGCATCGGCCAGTGAAAAACCCATATCGGTCGACCTCTAATAACGACATGACATTCACAAAGGAGTCTGGAGTGATACACGTATTTAGGTAGATTTTGAGGCGCATTACCTTGAAAAATGAAAGTAATCCACAGCGTCCTCAGCAGCTCAGATGTTGGGAGAAAATGAAGACTCTTATGTTCAGTCTTACATCCAAACACAGAGCATTGGGATTGCTTGCGAGACATTGTTGACGTTACAGCTGCTCAAGCGCGGAGAAAATGGAGGACAGCAAACAACCGCTGAGGGCGGAAACTATAGCAATGCAGAGCTGTCAATCAAACCCCGTGGCCCGACCCTATGCAATGTGACATCACACTGCATGAGGCCTAGTGAGACTGACTTGGTTTAAAGGGGATTACAAAATGTGGAGTGGGTGGATTTTTATCATTGTAAGGCGGTTGTGTTCATACACTGCCAACACATATTTACGTCCAAACACCATATAAAAGTGGATTTTGCATAATAGGTGCCTTTTAAAGTCATGAGAAAGCCAGATGTGTCCTTACTTTTGGTTCTGTATGGATATAAAAGCATCACTGTACCTGTATTAAAAGCAACATTATTTCAATCTTCTCTGAAATGACAGCAAAGAGACAGGTTCAACAACAGGCCTATAGATGATGCTCAGAGACTAGGCTTACAACACATGGTGGAGCTGTTGAGTTATTAGGCTCTGGCTGAACCAGGCCACAGATGGCAGGAAGCCCAGGAGGAACAGCAGGTGTCTGTACTTTTAAGAGAGTTCAAAGTTTAAAGTTCTTTGTCGTTAGTTTTTTCCAGATCATAAAACTTTTTTTTTATGCAAAAAGGTGTTAATTCCAATTTTTAAAAGCATTATTATAGAAAGAATGGAGGAAGAGGTTCATGTAAACTTTTTTTTATATGTTTTTGGCACAACTAAAATAGGTTCATGAAACAATAAAACATTCCTAACATTATTTTTTAAATCATTTTTATTCAATATTCAATCAATTATTATTGTTTTTTTTAAGCAGAGTTCCAAGGGCACAGTTTTCTTCCAGTTTGATATTAATGTACAAGACAAAAAGAGGTGAACTCATTTTATTTTTCTACTTTATTTGATATGGGTTTCCAGTTCTGAACATGTAAATAGCAAATATCATTCGCCATAGTAAAAAACACACTCTAGATTTAATACTTGGAACAGTTTTGAAATTGGACAAAAATTAAACAACAGATTCGGGTGTCTGACAGCACTTGATAATGACATTATAATTAAACCCTTAATGCTTTCAGTGGTTCATTATATTTCTATGATATTTTCACTTCAGGTGGCTTTTAACAACAAACATGACGTGCACAAAAATGAACATGGATAACAAAACACAACGTTAAAGATCTTATAGGGGAAGTCGTGGCCTAATGGTTAGAGAGTCGGACTCATAACCCAAAGGTTGTGGGTTCGAGTCTCATACCGGCAGGGATTGTAGGTGTGGGGAGTGAATGTACAGCGCTCTCTCCCACCTTCAATACCACGACTGAGGTGCCCTTGAGCAAGGCACCGAACCCCCAACTGCTCCCCGGCGCCGCAGCATAAAATGGCTGCCCACTGCTCCGGGTGTGTGTTCACGGTGTGTGTGTGTTCACTGCTGTGTGTGTGCACTTTGGATGGGTAAATGCAGAGCACTAATTCTGAGTATGGGTCACCATACTTGGCCACATGTCACGTCACTTTATAATATGGTTTAAATAAACATTTAAATAAAAAATGCACAAGCAATTTAAGATGTACAATAAGTGAGGCAGCAAACAAAGCCTGAACCTTTTTTAGTCTGAATGTTTAACACTACCAGATGCCAGAATCTGAAGTTATACAAGCATCCTCCACCTCAGCCTTGCACCCATGCCATCAACAGTACTATCACACAGTGTAAGGATACCCATTATGTGCCTCTAAGAGGCATATTACAGGAGACAGTGTTTTAACAGTGTAACACAGACAAGAATATAACTATGCCATATGTATTGCATTGTTTTTATATTAAAAGCTAATTTCAATCTCTGTAAAGTGAGTGGTGCAAAAACACACTGTTACAAAAGAAAAGGCACGATAATTCGGCCATTCGGTGCAAGATTAAGGTGAACCAGGAGAAGAAATATATTGACTTCATCAGAGAACCACTATCATATGCAAACAATTGCCTGAGAGTTAAAATGATCAAAACAAGACAAGATTTATTTTTTGTAACATGCAGTCACATGTCCAGTCAATAGAGCAAACTGACGGGCAATGCGATAGCGTTCAAAAGTACAAAAACGGTTTGAGAAGGAAGGCTGACATTCCTGTAGCATCCAAGAGCAGGAACTCTCTTTTTACAGAGGAGAACAGCAGTATCAAACATTAAGCAAAGTTATTTTAATGACAGCCCAAGAACATTGCATGCATTTTTATGCCATAGAGTTTGTGTACAAAAGCAAAAAGATTACAAAAATGTCACAGGAGTGGCTTGCACAATGAACTGTCAAGAGAGATAAGGTTTCTCAGTTGGTGAACATACATTGTAGGGCTGTAGACGGTTCTCCTTGGACTTTCAATGTGTTTAATAAATGGCCAACATCTGAAATCTTATCTCCAATCTAGAGATTACCTTAATGAATAAAATCCTGGTAATGAGGGAAAAAACAACTTAAATATACAGTAATAATATCTACGATACCCACCAATGGCATGCTAAATATGCAATAACACAGAGAGGTTAAAATAATACACTGGTTATAATTTAATGCCACAAAATTAAAATGTTAAATGACTTTAACACAGTATTTAAAAAAATATATTTAGTCATCTTTAAAATGCTCAAAGGAAGAATAAGATAAACATGCTATTAATAAATCTCAAAACAATAGTTTGTCCAGTCCATTTTTTTTTTGATTTACAGACTGAAAAATTTTAGAGTAAAATATGTTAATGTAATATATGAATTGGGCTTGGGCACAGTGTTTAATTCAAAAATCAATCCATAGTATTCATTTCTATAATAGAGCATTTGCAGCATTTGTGTGTGTTCTCGCGTAAACGGTTTTCTCTCTAGAAAAATGGCTATTGAAACTCTGCTGTGTGCTGTCTTAATGTCAATGGCACACTGTTCATTTGCAGTGAGAGTACTGAAACTAAAAGGTAAATTACATTCATTAAGTAGACAAACTAGGAGAAGGGGCAAGTAAAAACTCTTTAAATTTGTTGGGAGTTTATATTGTAAGAACTACAATTCTTTAATTCCATCAACCGATATAATATTCACAATCATCTGTCTGTAAAATACAATTGTGTAGTTTATACCCTGGCCTTAAGATAGGCATCAGAAAGGTTTTGGACTGTAAACAATATTGTTTTGGAAAGCGTATTTTCAGAGCCCCTTTGCTGCCATGATGCACACGCATAATGATACATTTACTGACAGCTAATTTCTGTAAACAGGATTCTTGAATACACAGAAAACCTCAAGAGAACGGAGAAAGAGCAGTAGAGTGTGGTTAAATATTTGAAAACAGGAACTGATCTCTTGTTGGCTGTCGGAACAACATCTCTCCATTTTCAATGAGGCTGTACAAGCACAGGCTGATTAAAGACCCTTATATAAGCCCAAAAGCCACATCAAGCCACACAATCAGACTGCAAGTTCAACACCAGAAAAAGTACAAGAGATAGAGCAGGTGTGTTGTGTGGGAACAGATACTGGCACCCATCTCTAAATCAGTGGACTGTTGATCCATCCATCACAGGCTGCTGGGCTTTACATGGACATCATGTAAGAAAGGGGCAGGCATCGGGGCATCCACTGGAAAGAGAGCCTCTCAGTCATTGTACCCTGAACCAGGGAGTTCATTGGTTAACGTGTGCCAGCGCTCGATTTTCTTGTCCTTGTTTTTCAGACAGTCAAACCAGTGTTTTAGCCTCTCGCCATTGGCATTTATACCTAAAGAGACTCCACCTGGAGAAAGGGAGGAAATGTTCGTTAAAACATCTAAAAAACACAAAGGTCAATAGTTCCCCATGGGACCAGACAGGAGAGCAGATTGACATTGGTGGACTTAAACTTCAAAAATGGTGTGTATTGATGTCTTTCCACGGTTAAAACAAGATACTTTCTGAGGTTTGATCATTCATGTTTATTTTGTGCTATAACTAGTAAAGAGGAAGAGATGATCGTTCATGTGCTGCTTGAACTGAGGCGCTACAGCGATCTGTCACGACACATTAAAGAGTCGCAAAACGGTATTATTTGAATTTCTTACAAAATGACAAAATTTGAAAGCTGAGACTGCTTCATACCAAAAGTAATTTGCTCTGTCTTGTCTGTCAGCGTGTTGTCAGTTTTTTTCACTGCATGAGAAGATGATGTGTGGTGTGATAGCAGCATGGCTTGTTGGACGTAGCAACAGTAACGAAGGGGGGCGGGTCTTTTTGCGAAGGGTCAATTGGGTCAGCATCTTGCATCCTTTGATAATGTACAAACATTTTTGCAAACTTAAACGTTTGGTTTTCTGTTACATTTGGTTGCTAATTCAGCTTCTCAATCTGACAGTTGGACGACTAGCTGGCTGGAACAGATACAAGGTTTTGTCAAAATAGTACGAATGACTTGTGATAGTCTTCACTACATCATCATGACATCAGTACGAATGGGTTGAAAATTACAAACCAGTAATGTTTTTCCTTGTATTTTCTCTTTCATGTAATTGTTTATTGCAAAATAATTTGTTGCTGTCTTGGAGTTTTATAGTAATTAATTATAGTAAATTATTTTATTAGACAATTATAGTAAATGTGCTTTATATTTTATGAAATATTTCATTTTTAATGAAAAACAATGTTTATGAATAATTTAATACAACAATGTAAAAATTAGACAGTTGTAACAAGAAATGTAAAATGATTCTAAATATAAATTTCATATTCAAAAGTTCATAAAAATTACACTTGTGTGAGCAGGGCAAGTAGAAATCTGAACTACTGGCCTGACTGGGAAATCAGATTTTTTTTTACTACTGAGCCCTGGGATTGTATCTTACATCGTAAAAGGAGTTAACCTTTGGTATTGCTTTCAATAGGTAACATACCATTAAAAACAGATCTTAATGCAAACTGTAAAAATGAAAAATAAAAATATAGCGTAAAGATAATAATAAAAAATTATAAATGATAAAACGATAGATTAAACCATATTTGTAAATAGTTCCTACCAATGAAATCATTGGATTTGCCAATGTCATAGTCCCAAACGGTCACCTCCAGGGTCTTTTTGCTGAGGTCAGCATACTTGATCTCATAGAAAAACTCCTGTTACAGGGAGAATGGAATTAGCATTTATAAAAACTAATGTGAGTTACAGAGTCTGTAAATCAGGCATTGGTCAAGTTCATCTTACTTCATTGAATTCGGGGTTGAGGGTCTTCTTTTTGACAGCTGTCTTGTGCTTTGATTTTTTGTTCTCATCTGGCTTGAGATACCTGAAATACATTGGTGATATTGAGAGAGAGAGAGAAAAAAAAATAGATGCATTGAGTTTGATCTTTCACTAAAGGTTAAGTTGACTTTCTTTCAAGACCAATCTGGCACAGGAATAATTCTGAAATAACTGCACCTTAGCAAAGGCAGTAAAACTGGGAGCACATTCGAAACAAATGCAAAATAGTGTTGTCGTATGCAACAAGTCAGTATGTCCACCAGAGGGCATTGCCGCTCCTGTATATAAAATGTGGAGGGCTGAAAGAAACGGCCATGAAAGGATAAACGAGGTTCATTGCAGGACATTTCCACCATTTGCTCTAGGAGCATTCTTTAAAAAAACAAAAAGATGAAACAACCTCACTTCACTTGTCTGCTGACTTCGAGGTCATTAAATGTTTCATTGCGGCTCTACTCCTGCAAACCCTCTTAATGAGGGTCCCTTGTTCTTTTACAAAGACCACCAGACAAGCAGACAGCCAACAGACTCAGATCCAGGAAGTGAACCCAGCAGCCTAATAATCACAGTCTGTGTCTTATTTTGTAAAGGCAATAATATAATTTGCCTGGGTATTCTTTATTTTTATCCATCTATGAAGCAGAATTAGTTGAATAATAGAGTAAAAAACTGAAATGAATCAAACAGTGTCTTGTTCAGGATGGTACAGAAATGACAGTAGACATTTAAAGAAAAAGTGAAACTTGTAAAAGGCTCATTTCCCTCTTATTGTAACAGTCTCTTGACAGGGAATGACATTTGCTCCTGTAACTGTGCTGCTGGACAACTATTTTATTCAGCTCTTCTAGTGACTAAATGCATCTGGAGTTTAAAAGGATAAAATGAATGAAAAATCAATTTAATTTACTTCCCAAAATGGTGAACATCAAGTGATATCAATCGGTGAACACTGCTCTGCTCTGTGTGGAGATATGCAGGAAAAACAGAGGAACGACAGAATGATCTGAAAATTGCAGACGGAGACAAACTAATGACACAAATGCACAAGATTTGCACTGTTTGTTGTCACCAGCAGAAACGATGAATGAATAATTTACTATTCAAAGCTTTTGTAGCATCAGAACCAGGCTGTGTAAATCGACCAATGTTTGTACATGTAAGAAACAAAATCATAGTGCCCCACTGCTGTAATCCCTCTATAAATCATTCGATTCAGGAAGCGAGGGGGTTGAGAGCTCTAATCCCCTCTGTGTGCTGACGCAGAGATCACTGCTTCATTTCACCCAACACATTCCAGTCCTCAAAATACACAAACATTTGAATTTCTCCCTATCAAAGACACAATTCTATGCTTATGACATAACTGCTTTGGTATCAAGTGTTGACTAATGGTTCAGATGCTTGTGTTTAGCATGATGTATGGATGTGCTAAGGATTTCCTTACAAACATATATATGTACACATACATACATCCAACATTGTAGGTAAATCATTTAGCAAGTGATTTATCCACAGTGATTTAATGGTACATTTATTGCAGAGATAATCCCTTAGAAATTTGGGGTTAAGTGCCTTGCTCAAAAGCTCATGGCTCATTCCTGTGGGATAGGCTTTATTTGGAATGTCGCATGACCGGAAAACAAGTCTCATTGCATCTGCTTGTCTTGTGTTAACAGCAGTACGAACTGACAATGATATCTAAGAACTTTGAAAGTAATCAGCTAGCCTACTTAGTTCTTTTTATTGTATGCATTTTATTCAATTTTAATATCCAAATGTTAGTGAAAAGAAGAAACGTTTTGATATCAGTTTGCATATGCAATGAACATCAGTTTATCTTTGGAAGCTCTTTTGAAAGCATCTCTGTATTAAAGGGGTCATGAACTGCCTTTTTTAAAAATAATTTTGTACTCTTTGAGGTCCACTTATAATGTTATCTAGATTTTTACATCAAAAAACATCATAGCTTATAAGTAATAGGCTATTTTCTGTCTGTTTTTTGACCCCCTTCATCAGAACGCTCTGTTTGAATAGGTGTGGCAGATTGTAGACTTGGAAGTAAACGCACAGGAGAGCAGATTGACATTGGTGGACTTAAACTTCAAAAATGGTGTGTATTGATGTCTTTCCACGGTTAAAACAAGATACTTTCTGAGGTTTGATCATTCATGTTTATTTTGTGCTATAACTAGTAAAGAGGAAGAGATGATCGTTCATGTGCTGCTTGAACTGAGGCGCTACAGCGATCTGTCACGACACATTAAAGAGTCGCAAAACGGTATTATTTGAATTTCTTACAAAATGACAAAATTTGAAAGCTGAGACTGCTTCATACCAAAAGTAATTTGCTCTGTCTTGTCTGTCAGCGTGTTGTCAGTTTTTTTCACTGCATGAGAAGATGATGTGTGGTGTGATAGCAGCATGGCTTGTTGGACGTAGCAACAGTAACGAAGGGGGGCGGGTCTTTTTGCGAAGGGTCAATTGGGTCAGCATCTTGCATCCTTTGATAATGTACAAACATTTTTGCAAACTTAAACGTTTGGTTTTCTGTTACATTTGGTTGCTAATTCAGCTTCTCAATCTGACAGTTGGACGACTAGCTGGCTGGAACAGATACAAGGTTTTGTCAAAATAGTACGAATGACTTGTGATAGTCTTCACTACATCATCATGACATCAGTACGAATGGGTTGAAAATTACAAACCAGTAATGTTTTTCCTTGTATTTTCTCTTTCATGTAATTGTTTATTGCAAAATAATTTGTTGCTGTCTTGGAGTTTTATAGTAATTAATTATAGTAAATTATTTTATTAGACAATTATAGTAAATGTGCTTTATATTTTATGAAATATTTCATTTTTAATGAAAAACAATGTTTATGAATAATTTAATACAACAATGTAAAAATTAGACAGTTGTAACAAGAAATGTAAAATGATTCTAAATATAAATTTCATATTCAAAAGTTCATAAAAATTACACTTGTGTGAGCAGGGCAAGTAGAAATCTGAACTACTGGCCTGACTGGGAAATCAGATTTTTTTTTACTACTGAGCCCTGGGATTGTATCTTACATCGTAAAAGGAGTTAACCTTTGGTATTGCTTTCAATAGGTAACATACCATTAAAAACAGATCTTAATGCAAACTGTAAAAATGAAAAATAAAAATATAGCGTAAAGATAATAATAAAAAATTATAAATGATAAAACGATAGATTAAACCATATTTGTAAATAGTTCCTACCAATGAAATCATTGGATTTGCCAATGTCATAGTCCCAAACGGTCACCTCCAGGGTCTTTTTGCTGAGGTCAGCATACTTGATCTCATAGAAAAACTCCTGTTACAGGGAGAATGGAATTAGCATTTATAAAAACTAATGTGAGTTACAGAGTCTGTAAATCAGGCATTGGTCAAGTTCATCTTACTTCATTGAATTCGGGGTTGAGGGTCTTCTTTTTGACAGCTGTCTTGTGCTTTGATTTTTTGTTCTCATCTGGCTTGAGATACCTGAAATACATTGGTGATATTGAGAGAGAGAGAGAAAAAAAAATAGATGCATTGAGTTTGATCTTTCACTAAAGGTTAAGTTGACTTTCTTTCAAGACCAATCTGGCACAGGAATAATTCTGAAATAACTGCACCTTAGCAAAGGCAGTAAAACTGGGAGCACATTCGAAACAAATGCAAAATAGTGTTGTCGTATGCAACAAGTCAGTATGTCCACCAGAGGGCATTGCCGCTCCTGTATATAAAATGTGGAGGGCTGAAAGAAACGGCCATGAAAGGATAAACGAGGTTCATTGCAGGACATTTCCACCATTTGCTCTAGGAGCATTCTTTAAAAAAACAAAAAGATGAAACAACCTCACTTCACTTGTCTGCTGACTTCGAGGTCATTAAATGTTTCATTGCGGCTCTACTCCTGCAAACCCTCTTAATGAGGGTCCCTTGTTCTTTTACAAAGACCACCAGACAAGCAGACAGCCAACAGACTCAGATCCAGGAAGTGAACCCAGCAGCCTAATAATCACAGTCTGTGTCTTATTTTGTAAAGGCAATAATATAATTTGCCTGGGTATTCTTTATTTTTATCCATCTATGAAGCAGAATTAGTTGAATAATAGAGTAAAAAACTGAAATGAATCAAACAGTGTCTTGTTCAGGATGGTACAGAAATGACAGTAGACATTTAAAGAAAAAGTGAAACTTGTAAAAGGCTCATTTCCCTCTTATTGTAACAGTCTCTTGACAGGGAATGACATTTGCTCCTGTAACTGTGCTGCTGGACAACTATTTTATTCAGCTCTTCTAGTGACTAAATGCATCTGGAGTTTAAAAGGATAAAATGAATGAAAAATCAATTTAATTTACTTCCCAAAATGGTGAACATCAAGTGATATCAATCGGTGAACACTGCTCTGCTCTGTGTGGAGATATGCAGGAAAAACAGAGGAACGACAGAATGATCTGAAAATTGCAGACGGAGACAAACTAATGACACAAATGCACAAGATTTGCACTGTTTGTTGTCACCAGCAGAAACGATGAATGAATAATTTACTATTCAAAGCTTTTGTAGCATCAGAACCAGGCTGTGTAAATCGACCAATGTTTGTACATGTAAGAAACAAAATCATAGTGCCCCACTGCTGTAATCCCTCTATAAATCATTCGATTCAGGAAGCGAGGGGGTTGAGAGCTCTAATCCCCTCTGTGTGCTGACGCAGAGATCACTGCTTCATTTCACCCAACACATTCCAGTCCTCAAAATACACAAACATTTGAATTTCTCCCTATCAAAGACACAATTCTATGCTTATGACATAACTGCTTTGGTATCAAGTGTTGACTAATGGTTCAGATGCTTGTGTTTAGCATGATGTATGGATGTGCTAAGGATTTCCTTACAAACATATATATGTACACATACATACATCCAACATTGTAGGTAAATCATTTAGCAAGTGATTTATCCACAGTGATTTAATGGTACATTTATTGCAGAGATAATCCCTTAGAAATTTGGGGTTAAGTGCCTTGCTCAAAAGCTCATGGCTCATTCCTGTGGGATAGGCTTTATTTGGAATGTCGCATGACCGGAAAACAAGTCTCATTGCATCTGCTTGTCTTGTGTTAACAGCAGTACGAACTGACAATGATATCTAAGAACTTTGAAAGTAATCAGCTAGCCTACTTAGTTCTTTTTATTGTATGCATTTTATTCAATTTTAATATCCAAATGTTAGTGAAAAGAAGAAACGTTTTGATATCAGTTTGCATATGCAATGAACATCAGTTTATCTTTGGAAGCTCTTTTGAAAGCATCTCTGTATTAAAGGGGTCATGAACTGCCTTTTTTAAAAATAATTTTGTACTCTTTGAGGTCCACTTATAATGTTATCTAGATTTTTACATCAAAAAACATCATAGCTTATAAGTAATAGGCTATTTTCTGTCTGTTTTTTGACCCCCTTCATCAGAACGCTCTGTTTGAATAGGTGTGGCAGATTGTAGACTTGGAAGTAAACGCCCACTGCTATGATTGGCTAACAGTTGTGTATGCTTGACAGCCTATATCCTTCACAGATGGACGCTGCTATGATTTAGCATCCTATCAAATTATATGTTTAACCGACAAAGCAATAGTAATCACGTAAAAAAAAAAAAAAAAGTTTTGTTTTGCGACATTACTGTTGGATCCAATATAGCCGGCACATCAGCATCTTTTAGTTTCAATCTTTCTGAAAATCCTGCGTCGAATTGTGCTTTGATTGTAAATTAATTTGCAGTAAAATGAAGTGAACAAAGGACCATGTTCTTATTGACGTGTTCTGGAACTTCATTAAAAATAAAAAGTTGAAAAGTTAATTCACTCTTTCCTAACGTTGGGATCAGAAGGAAGGCAATGCAAAAACTGTTTTTTAAACAGCTTGGCACTGCACAGTGTCTTGTTGTCTTCAGAGCATCTTTATCATTTGGTTTCTGCGTAGACCTGCACGTTTGCCTATCGTTATTTACACTACATGCACGAATTGGTGGGCGGGGCTAAACAGGCAACGATGTAGAAGCAGGCATTGATCTTCTGCGGAGGTGGTGTTTATCCACACTATTACATCATAGAGTGGTACATTCTACAAGCTGTTGTTTTGGCAGATTGGCTTCAATACTGTTTTTAGACTAACTAGAAAGTTTTGAGTTCTGAATCTTACAGGATGTTTTCATAGTATAATGACCTCCTATATGTCAAAAGATCAAGGGAATTTTTGTCTCTCAGTTAATGACCCCTCAGAAAAAGTGACCTGTTTTACAGAATAATGAAGTGTTTTGCACATAATCTGCATTCAAACCCACAACCTTCTGGTGTCCACCCAATAAGATACTCTACCGTCAGATCAGCACTTTAAAGTCAACATGAAATGAAAATTCACCCAATTTTTTAATGCATAATTTATCTTATTTTAAATTATTTGTCTGTGCATAGGCTTCTTTTTTTTTTTTTACATTGTTTTTTTTAATCTCATTTTAATGTCAATGAACTCAACAGAACATCTACCATTACTTCCATTTTCTGTGGTGTATCTAATCTATGTAGGGAAAATCTCTCAAATATTATTTGTAATTTTGACAAAAACATTAATGTATTCTAACTTCAATGCATGAAAAGACCCTGTCTTATTGTTATACCACAGATTTGAGTCAACTAACTTTACTCAATTCAGCAACTGAAAGCTGGATTTCCTTTGATATCTGTAATTCACATACTCTTATATGCATGGATCTTAGGGATGCACCGAAATGAAAATTCTTGGCCGAAGCCGAAACCGAACAAAATTAAAACACTGGGCCGAACGAAGGCCGAATACCGAACACGGTTTTTCGAGTTTTTTTCCCCATGTATTTTGCCAATTTTTTTTTCACCATTGCATAAATTAAATAGTCAAAATGTGCTTTTTACAACTTTTATTTTGGCGGAAATGCGCAGGAAGACCTCAATGCTTATTTTTGTTGATAACAGATTTATAAATGAGTCTCATTACGAATATGTCGTACGTATCGCATTGTCACATGCCTTGTAAAAATGCATAAAAATGTGACTGAACAACTGACGACTGTGTCAGCGTAGATTTTTCTCGCGCTTTGGACTTTGAACCCTGGTTAACAAGCAGATCTGCTGCGAGTTCGTGCAGCGCTGTCAGAATACATGCAATGCGCGCGTGTATTAGAAAACATAACGTTCTGCAGTTTATTTACTAATTGTTTAAGGCCATTTCGCAATTTCAATCATCATACAGTAACCAGCAACAATCACCCCTTCCTCTTCTCATTGAAGACATGCGATGCAGTCCTAAACAGTCTCTCGCTGTCGGTGCTTGTAATGATTTTTGCGTCTTTCTCCGACAGTTTAAATGCTTCCACACTGCTGACGTGTGTGCTGCATAATAAAGAGTGCGCACCTCTCACTCTGCACTGGTTGCTATTTGATCGCGTCATATCATTGTTCGGTACAATTTATTCGGTCTTTTCGCTCATTCGAATAATTTCGGTTGCCGAACATTCGGTGCATCCCTAGTTCCACATGAAACGTTTTCACTAAAGCAAATTACGTGAATTTTTATTATTTTAGTATTCCTGCAAATGAACAGTTTAATTGTGCTTTTGGTACAGGAAAAACTTACGTTTTAACATAAGGGTCAGAGAAGCCATTGGCATCCATGGCAGCAAGATGGGCACAGCGGATGATGCCCACCACTAAGCCACACTTCTGAGAGCTGTACTTCAGAGAGATCATGATGCGCCCTCGCTCCTCCAGAGACTTGTCATCTGTCTTGTCGATCTGTGTTGAGACACACACACACACACACACACAGAGAAAAAATAGAAAACCCAGCCGTCAGTCCTTAGTAGATAATTTATTAATTCGCTCAATTAGTTTCATGCACCACTCTCTTCTTTCCAGTGTTTTCGTGTCTAGACTTTTTATGGCAAACTCAACTGTTGAATTTGAGGTAAATCTTCTCTCTCTCGCTCTCAGAACTTTGTGGATCCACCAAAGCCGTCAAGCATGAAGTTAATTAGCTGTGGAGGAGGCATCTCTGTTCATCCCCCACACACTGCTGTCTCATTTCTGTCCCCACTGGAGATCACACACACACCCTCACATACACATTGCAGAGTCTCTTCACACAACAAACACACTTTGTACTGTTTGCCAGCTGGTGGAGTCACTCTCAGGCCTTAGAGCACATCCCAAGTCAGTCTTTGTGTTTAACTTTTGTCACCTCTACCTGTACTGTAGTCCTGAGAGCAGATCCCAGATCAGTCTGTGTGCTGATCTTTCAGGTGGGTGACATAATTAATGGATAGAAGTGAATAGAGCTAAAAAACTACTTCTAGAACTTTTAAAAACTTATTGGGAAATCTCATAATGTCAGGGTTGGAGAGCATTCCATACCTGTCAAATGTAATTTTAATGTCATTTTTTAAATGGAAAGACTTATCTAAATCGGTGGTGCTGATCTTTTTAAAACTGACTCATGAAGGCTAACTGAAAAGTAACTTGGAAAAAAACTAAAGACATTTGGGAAACGTTTGTCATTATATAACGGTTTCAGTCCTGCAATTTGATTGACTAAGTGGTGTCCTATAGGACTGATTTTTTTTTATATACTGTTTTTGTCACTTTGCTTGTCTGTGTTTGTGTGTTCCAGACACACTGTCAGTCTGTGCATCAGGGGCATTCAGTCCATAAAGCTGTGAATGTTCTGCATACCCAAGTCATTTAAAGAATGAGTTCAGGGACTGGCTAAATATTAACATTACTAAAAATATATTGTCATTTGAGGTGAAACATAAGGCTTATATAAAAAAAAATGCTTGGAATAAGTAACTATGTAAAATAATTTCTTTGCCAAACAATGGTAATTTTAGGCAAATCTGTGCTGGTTATGGAGGTACGGAGGAGTTTATCTCCAACACTAATTAAACACATCTGAACCAGCTAAGATTTTCAGACTCAATAGAAATTTCCTGGCAAGTGTTTAGAAGCTGAAATGAGCTAAACTCTGCAGGACGCTGGCCCTTTAGGTGAAGGTTTGGACACCCCTGGATACAAGTAAGTGGATTCATAACAGCTCACCCGATTCATGACAATGTGAATCGTCATTATTTTCTGGCATTTTCATCGCTTTTTGGCAATGTAGGTGATTTCATGCACGAGAAAATCTGTCCATTAATTGCTAGTCCATTAATTGTCAGCTGCTAGCCCAGCTGACGCTGCCAGATCTCGATTACCAAATTTATTATTTTTTTTAAAGATTTATTTTTGCCCTTTTTGCCTTTATTTTGAGAGTATGTATTGACAGGAAACAAAATAGGAGAGAGAGAGAGGGGGGTGGGATTGGGAAAGATCCAAAGCCAGGACTCAAACCCAAGATTCCCGTGCCAAAGGTGCTGCCACGAGTCTATCAGCGTCAACAAATCACATTTGGTGTAAAAAAAAAAATAAAAAAACCTTGACTAAATGAACAAAACCCTCGTAACTATATTTTCATTTGCAAAGCAAATTTTGAAAGTCCACTGAAAACTTACTGTATCTTCTAATTTTTGGCATAGAATATGTTGATGACAGTATTTAGCAACATGCTTGCGTAAACTAACTAATAAATAAATATTTATTGTTCTATTTGTTTTCCTCCTTTATTGTTGCAGTTGTTTCCCCCATGCTTGACAAGTGTTGACATGCATGTTCTTAAACTGATTACGCTTATTAAGCTGAGAACAGGTGTAGTCATGTAAATGCATTTTCTTTTATTGCTATTATTCATTCTCTTATCGAAACGCCTAGATTTTGCCCATTACCCTGATTTTGCCCGGCATGTAAACACCTAAACCTGTGCTCTTTCAGCTTATTGAAGTGCACAACGTTTCCCTTCTCCTGCTAGAACATATAAAGCAGTGGTTTGTGCTGATTCTAGCAGAGTTGTGTAATATGTGATATGTAACAGGAATGCGTCCTTTCTGCAGATTTAAGCGCATTCAGCCAGAGCGGGTGTTTCGCTTTAGGGGAGGAGGAAATATATCATACACTGACTCTTTCCTGACCCAAGAAATTATAAAAATGTGTTCTCATCTCGTGCAGCCAAAGAAGTGGTAGAAACTAGTTACAGAAACTAAACATTAGAGTGTGTACAAGTTTCCTGCTGACATTTTGGCATACACTGGGGTTTTTAATGCTGTAACATCACAACTATCATAATAAATAGAATACTTAAGTGGAATGCGTGGATTCTTATGTTTTGAAATCACAAAATTTTATAAACTGATTTTTGGTAGTCATCAGCATATGGGTGTGAAAGAAAACATGCTAATTGATTCAGGTATTTAACCGATTAATTCAAAAACAGAATCATTAAGGAACAAAACACCACAACATTGTGTTGGTTGGAGACATGCAATGGTTAATTCTGCTTTGACTTCTTTTGGAACTCTGTAAGTAACTGGTAATATTGGGTCTAAGTTACTCAAAGGGATAGTTCACCCAAAAATGTTGTCATTAATTACTCACCCTCATGTCGTTCCAAACCCGTAAGACCTTTGTTCATCTTCGGAACACAAATTAAGATATTTGTGAAGAAATCTGAGAGCTTTTTGACCCTGCATGGACAGCAACACAACTAACAGTTCAAGGCCCAGAAAGGTAGTAAAGACATTGTTAAAATAATCCATGTGACATCAGTGGTTCAACTGTAATGTTACGAAGCAATGAGAATACTTTTTGTGCACAAAGAAAAGAAAAATAACGACTTTATTCAGCAACTTTTTATCTTCTGAGTCAGTCTTCGTTATTTTTGTTTTCATAGTACACAAAAAGTATTCTCGTAGCTTCATAACATTACAGCCAAACCACTAATGTCACATGGACTATTTTAACGATGTCCTTACTACCTTTCTGGGCCTTGAATGTGTCAGATGCATTGCTGTCTATGCGGGATCAGAATGCTCTCCGATTTCATAAAAAATATCTTAATTTGTGTTCTGAAGAGGAACGAAAGCCTTACGGATTTGGAACGGCATGAGGGTGAGCAATTTTCATTTTTGAGTGAACTTTCCGTTTAATATTAACTGTTTATTAAACTGCTGCATCAAAGCAATATCACATCGCGATCTTGTGCTTACAGCCAAATTCAGAACAGTGTTCTTGCTCATGTGATATTGCATAAGTATTGAATAGATGTATGACAAGTAAGCGATAATGCACATACATCTGATTGTTATCACAAAATAAACCCTGACAGGGTGATCATGACCCAGACGCAAAGTTATAATGTACACGGGCTGGATGTACATTATCCCACTTCAATCCATGAAGCACTTTGACACAGTAATCATGCCTTAAAACCTACATCCACCACCGTCAAATGAAGAAGACATGCCTACAATGAAGTGTATCGAATTGCTTTCCTTAACGTTTTCCTCCTTCTCCTGCCAGACCATATAAAGCAGTAGTTTGTGCTGATCCTAGCAGAGCTGCGCCCAGGTACTGACGAAAGACTTCCTGCTGAGCTATAGCTTTAGTTTGTGACTAGAGTATAACATTTCAGTTATAAGGTATGGTCCAGGTACTAACACACGTGCGGGACTGTGTCCCTCCCTCATACATTCATGGTTGTATATTTCCAGTGAAACAAAAATGTATTCCCTTGAAGATATGGCAGGTTTTGAAACAAGCGATACAAGCTGCAATTGTTAAACCGTTGTTAGTTTTCTTCCAGCAGCAAGCAGCCTATAGCTTTATCACATCGTATTGTTTGCTGGTGTTTGTAAGCCTGTCATGTTTGTCTCAGATGGGTGATGGATGTGAGGATGTTGCTCCAATGATATTTGATTTCTAATTATGTTGATTCTAATGAGAGTCACTCATTAGGACGTTCTAATCAATTTGATATCTGAATCTCCTTATGTAGCTTTCAAACTTCCCTCAATTTCTCCATCACTCACAGACAACCACACTGATGATTAGCACAACTGAGCTCCTTCCGTCGTCAGACTGATTCCTTTCCACAGATGAGCTCTAAAAGACTGTAACTCACAGGAAGTTGTTTCTCCAAACAGTTGCTGAAGTTCTTAGTCTGGTTGGGTTTGAGTTTCTTCAAGGGGATTCGGGTTTCACCAATGAATTCGTTGTGGCGGAATTTGTCCTCGTCACACACTGAAATCCTAGATGAAAACAAAAGATTGACCGTATGAGTTCTGGCTTGTAGATTTGACGTGTAAAGGAATTATGTAGCTAGTGAGAAGACTTTCATCACCATGTTAATCTGATGTACCATTTCAAAGCTTTCAAAATACATTTCTGATATTATCTAGAACAGTTCTGACCCTGTCTGAACCTACTAATAAAATCTGTACTCCGTTCAGTCAAAGAAATATATGGAGGAGTACATATCCTCGTATCCAGTCAAGTGTTGAAGGCAGGCATTACAAACTGATTCCCCACCACCTGTGCTTCAAAACGTTTTTGAAAAGCACTTATTCTCTGTCAAATACATAGTGTGACTGGAACCAATTATTCAGTATATCCCATATATTTAGAATCCATAGCAGAAGCTCCATGGGAGGATCTTTTTACTATAGATGTTCATTTGCATTGAGCTTGCTCACTGTGAAATGAGTTTTCTGTGCTATTTGCAGTATCGTCAAGAACCACTTGATCTGTGGGGGTAGGAACAAAGGCACGGCTTCTTTTAGATTTACACAGGTCAATAATAACATTTGACTGGATACAGATGAGTAATTCACACAGGAAAAAAAACTTACTGCTGATATCTCTCATTTACAGAAAGAACAGATGGCCAGAATAACAACACATCCATGCGTTGATGAATTGGCTAACAGCAGAAAGAGACAATTATTTCACCAAAATATGAAAATCTCTTTATTTACTCACCCTCAAGCCATTTGAAAGCTAAAGGACTTTCTTTCTGTTAAACTGAGATATTTTGCAGAATATCCTAGCTGCTATTTTCTATGCATGACTTCAAGTTCCAAAAAGGACATAAAAAACACCATACACATACCTTCAAAGTAAATATGACTATTGTGTTATTAGGGTTGGGTATCATTTCAGTTTTTTTCGATACCGGTGCCAAATCGATACTTTTAAAACGGTTCCGGTGCCTAAACCGATACTTGTTAAAAAATAAATAAATACAAAATCCCCCCAAAAAATGATGGATTGGCCATTAGAATAGAAATAGAATAGAGAGTGCAAATGTTAGAGGGTCAAGTTTTTTAATTAAAACAAACAAGCAGATAAAATTAGAAGTAGCATTAGAATAGAGAGTGCTAGAGTTAGAGGGTCAAATGAAGATGAAAGAGATGTGTTTTCAGCCGTTTCTTGAAAATATTAAGGACTCAGCTGCTTGGATTGAGCTGGGCAGGTCATTCCACCAGGAGGGAACAATTAATGTAGAAGTCCATGAAAGTTTTATCATAGGTAGAATGCAAAATGTTTCAATATAAGCATTTCAGTCAAATGTAATTTATGCAATATTTCAAACCTTTAACCCACTTGGTAAAATCAACCCATGGCAACAGTTTAAAAGTAGCCCAATTATGTGGAAAAAACGTGGACTTGGCAACCCTGCATCCAACAAGAGCTACCGGAGTCAGCTTTGACTGATCACAGGTCGAGAATAAG